GAATAGCTTACTTCACATAGCATAATGTCTTCAAGGTTCATTTGTGTTGTAGGACAGACTGAATAATATTTCATTATGTGTATGTGCCACATTTTGCTAATGGACATTTCTGTTATTTCCACCTTTTGGCAAGTGTAAGCAATGATCCTGTGAACATTGATGTACTTGCCTATTTTTAATGAGTTGCTTATCATACTGTTATTTATAAATTATAAATTATATATTGTCACTTATCAAATACATGCTTTGCAAATACTTCCAGTCTGTTGCTTATCTACTTGGATGCTAAACTGTCATTTGATTACCAAAAGCTTTCATGTTAATGAAGTATAATTTGTAGTTTTTTAATTATGTGGACTACTTTTTATATCATAAGAAATCTTTACCTACCTCTACTTCAGAAATACTATTCTAATTTTAATCTGGGAGATGTATAATTTGAGCTTTTACTTTTAACACTGTGCTGTATCTTGTACTTATTATGTGTATAATGTGAGATTGGAATTAAGGGTCCCTAACTCCCTGTTCTTCATACCATAAAGATATTCTGTTATTGCAGACCTGTTTGTTACAGACTTTCTTTTCCTCATTGAATTTCTTTGATACCTCTGCCAAAAATCAGATAACCATATAAATGTGATTCTATTTCTAGAATCCATTGAATTATATCTACATATTTTTTCCAGCTTATGCTATTACCATACTCTCTTGCTGCCTTTTTATAATAAATCTTAAAGTCAGAGGATGTAAGTGCTCTAGCTTTTGTCTTCTTTTTCAAGATTACCTTCGCTAATTTATGTACTTTGAGTTTCCAAAAAATTTTAGAATCAAGTTTTCATTTTCTCTTTAAAAAAAAAAAAGCCTCTTGGCAGCAGACATAGTGGCTCATGTATGTAATCCCAGCTACTTAGGAGGTAGAGATCAGGAGGATCATAATTTGAGATCAGCACAGACAAAAAGTTAATAAGACTATGTCTCAATAAATAACCTGGATATGGTGGTATATGCCTGTTAGCCTAACTAAGCAGGAGGCATAGGTAGGAGGTTGGCCAGGGTAAAAACCTGAGACCCTATCTGAAAGATAACTAAAAAGCAAAAAAGAATGGGGCCTGACTCAAGTGATAAGGCCTGAGTTGAAATCCCAGTTCCCCTCCAAAAGAAAAGCCTATTGAGATTATGATTGATAGTGCATTGAATTTATAAATTGACTTTGGGAGAACTGATATTTTTCCATTCATTTAAACCTTCTTTAATTTCTTTCTTCTGAGAATAAAGGTTTTATACCTCTTTGTTCAACTTATTTCCAAGAATTTTATGTCTTTTCATTCTTTTGTAAGTAGAATTATTTTCTTGGTTTAGTTCTTTTGTATTTCCTTCTAGTATATAAATTCCAGTTGGTTTTTATGTATTGATCCTTATCTTGCAACCTTGCTAAATTTACCTGATAGTCCTAGTAATTAATTTGCTAATTCCTGGGGAGTTTCTGTGTACATAACTATAATGCTTTTCAAAGAGTCAGTTTTAGTTCTTTCTTTCCAATCTTTATGCCTTTAAAAAAAATACTGTCTGCTGTTCCAGACTAGTACATACATTACTTTGTTTCAGTAGTTCGTGTTGGCCATGTGTAATACTAAGGAATTATCTCTATTTGCTTAGGGTGTTGAGAACATTTATTATAAGTAGATGTTAGATATTGTTGTCTTTTTTATGCATCCATTGAAATTATCATATGATTTTCTGTCTTTATGCTGATAATATGTATTATGTTGATTGAGTTTTCAAATTTTCAACCAAACCTGTACTCTGACAAGCCTCATTCATTCATGAAAGGACTTTGTGTTAAATGATTGGATTTTATTCTAATATTAAGGTTGTGTTTGGCCATGTTCAGGACTTTGTGAAGTTTTGATATCAGGATTACATAGACACCATAAAACAATTTGAAAGTGAGGGTCATCCTCTCCCCTTTTCTGGAAGTATTTCCATAAGATCACTATTGTTTCTTACCTAAACATTTGATAAAATTCACCATTTAATCCATGTAGGTCACACATTTTCTTTAAGGGAAGGTTTTTAACTATGAATTCAGTTTCTTCTGTAGGTACAGGACTACCATCTTAGGGTGTTTTAGTAGTTCTTTCCAGCATTGGTCCATTTCCCTGAGGTTGCCCATTTTATTGGTTTAATCTGTCCCTGTTATGCTCATTATCTTTTTAATGTCTGTAGGGTGTTTATTAATACCACCTCTTTCATTCCTAGTATTCATAATATCTCTTCTCTTTTTTATTTTCTATTTTATTTATGTTTCCCTTTATCTTATTAATATTTCCTTCTCTGTACTTAGAGCTTTCTTTACTTTTAATTTTTTAGCTTCTTAAGATGGAAACATAAGTCTTGGTTTTTAAACTTTTTCTATTTTTTTTATTTTTTGCAGTTCTGAAACTTGAACTCAGGGCCTCATACTTGCTAGGCAGGCACTGTACCACTTGAGCCACTCTGCCAGCCTGTTTTTGTGTTGGGTACTTTTGAGATAGGTCTCGCTAGCTGTTTTCCTGGGCTGTCCTCGAACCACAATTCTCCTGATCTCTGCCTCCAGTGTAGTTAGGATTACAGGCTTAACCTTGCTTTTCTAATACAACCATTCAAAATCTGTTCCCTCTACATACTGGTTTAGCAACGACATAAATTTGGGTATTGATTATTTCAACATATTTCTAATTTCCTTTGTGATTCTATCTTTGAATAATAATTTGAAAGCATACGATTTAATTTCAAAATATTTGGGGATATTTCTAGATAACTTAGTGCTTTCTAACTCAATTTCATTTAGGTCAGAGAACATCCTTTGCAAAATTTCGGTATTTCAGTGTTTACCAAGATTCATTTTGTGGCTCAGCCTATGATCTCTCCTGATGAATGTTTCTCGGCAATTAAAAGCTGTATTCAGCAGTTAGTGGTTATGATGTTCTATGAACGGAAACATGAAAAGTGTTAAAATCTCCAACTATGGGAATTCTACTAGTTTTGTCCTTTTTTTGTTTACTTTGAAGTCTGTTTTTTTTTTTAATTAGGGACGTGTTCCTTTATAATTTTTTTAACTGACATAACCCTTTTATTATTTTGAAATGTCCCACTGTTTCTTACTAATATTCCATGTCATGAACTTTGTTTTGCCTGGTATTAAAATTAGTCACCCCAGCTTTTGTCTGCTTGGTATTTATCATTATGAAATGTCCCACTCTATCTCTAGTATTCTCTTTAGTTTAAAAGTATACATGACTCTGTATTTAGTATGCATTTCCTGTAAAAAAGATATAATCCCTTTTTAATTCAGTCTTGCAACACTTACTTTTGAAATAATGTTTAGTTAATTAACATTTAATGTAATTGATATAGCTAGATTTAAGCCTAATATTTTGCCATTTGTTTTCTGTTAATTCAATCCACTTTTGTTCCTGTCTTACAGTTTTCTCCAATGAGTTATCCCTCTTTCATTCATAGCTATGTTTTTCTTTATGGTCTGGAATATATTTATAATAGCCGATCTAAAGTTCTTTTCTGCTGATTTTACTACCTGGATCATTCTCAGGTCTTTTTCTGTACACTCTCCTCACTGTGGTACCATTGTCTTTCTTCTCCCATATTCTTAACAGTTTGTGTTGTTAACAGCATGTTGTAGCTCCTTGGCATCCTGTTATCTTCCTCTGCAAAGTCTTGATTGTTGTCAGTTACAGACAGTTAATTTGCCTGCTTTGTGCATTAAACTGTTGCCTTCTGCAGGATGCCTGGAGTGTTCCCTGAGTGTTCATGCGTAATTCACAGTGTTTTGTTTTTTTTTTTTTTTTTTTTGCACAGACTCATGAGTGCCCTCAAGTAAAGCACCACATAAAAGCAAAGCTTACCTGGTGAGATGTCCTCTCACAGCAGCCACCTTCATTCGAGTGTCTGCCAGCCTTTGCTCATTCTCTAGTACCTATAATAGTGGGAATATTTTTCTTTCCTAGAACATACAAATATTTTGATATGAGAGAAACAATTTTAGTGTATATAAAGCATAAATACCCACTAAGTTACTTAGTAAAAATTTTTTAACCTTTTTTTGTGAGGCAGAGTCTCACTATGTAGACCAGGCTAGCCTTTAACTTCAAATCCTCCTGCCTTAGCCTCCTGAGTGCTAAGAGTACAAGAGTAGGTCATCACGCCTAGCCTAAAGTGACTTGATAAAATGCCCATCTCAGAAGAGTAGGTAAATTTGATTTCATTTAAAATTATTTACATTGAAAATATAATATTTATAATCAGACAAGTTATTTTAAATTTTCATAAAAATCAAAATTTGTTAAAGTTCAGAAAACTGTAGCTCACATGTACTTTTCTTCCAGATTATATTGTCACCCAAAGTGTGTTATCTCATTAGGCATACTATCAAAATTTAATATTCTGAAAGTACTTTTCAAAGTCGTCTTCTGATGTATATTTTGAAAGTACACATTTCAAAACATATCAAAACAAAGTATCTCACCACCTCTTTCTATATACATAACTAAATGTGAAATTTCATCCCCTTGTTTTTTATTAATACTTTGAGCAATACATGCAGATAATCATTTAATAGCTAGTATGCAGTAGATACCGAGTAACAACCAGGTATAAAAAAATACAGCTCATACTGGGTAGTGTAAGTGTGATACGTTTTTCCAAAAATTTCATTGATTTTTCATTTAAAGAAAGTTTGTTTTAAAGAAAAGTATACTATGTGTAAAGAATTTATGGAATTAGCAAGTATTAACCTAAAAAACGGTATTTGTATTGATAGTCAAAATTAATTTTTTTAAGAAAATAAAATTTTAGCAATGATTTTGAGACAGTGTTTATCAACTGCATTACAGGAATTGTATTTATTGGTTGCTTTTGTCATGTGCATATAGCAAACAAATAAGACTTGGTATTTGTATTTCAAAATACCCACTCTAATTTGCATATTTTATATTGGAAAATAGATATTGAAGAAAATGAAGATGCTGGAGCGACCTCCCTGCCCACTCAGCCACCTCAGCCATTGTCCTCTTCAACTTATGACCCAAGCAATATGCCACCAGGCAGCTATACTGGAATACAGATTCCTCCAGGTGCACATGCTCCAGCTAATACACCAGCAGAAGTGCCTCATAGCACAGGTAATAAATCAAAACTGAATTTCTAATTCCCCTTTCATAAAAAAAGAATTGTACTTCTTATATTTTTGCCTCATAGTGATGGTTATGAAGCATGATATGATCCTTAAATTCCATTTGCACCCACAAAAATTAGTTACTTGCATTGGTGTTTTAATATTATGGTTTTGTTTTGGCAAGTATTGACATGCACTGAATACTGTTAATTAACTTGATATTTTATTAATAACTAGTTTTCTATATTTTTTGTGTGCATTGCTCCTTTTCTTCCCTTTTTTGCTCCTTCACTGTTGTTTGAAGATAGCTTTGAAGTGAGTGGGGTTTGTTATAGGATGTGTCAATCAAGATTCCACTGCAATAACAAGTTACATACCTATATATGTTCTCATAGAAAAGAGATCTGGCAAAACTAGTCTCTGCTAATAAGTCACTGTCAATAGGTAAAAAGCCCTTTCACAAAGTTGCAGGTAGTTCTCCATTTGCTTATATTGTTGACAAAGTATTGCCCTTAACTTTCAAATAGAAAGCCATTTACAGTCATTATTTAAAGTTTGCATTTAATTTGTTGGGTTTTACTCCAAGCATTGTTCCTGAATTTTTTCTTTACACTAACATAAGGGTGATGTGTGATTCTGAACTATGCAAACATTTCAAAATGTTTAACAAATGAAATGGGAGTCACCCCTTGAGCCCTGATTTCTGCTATTTCTATTATGCTGTCTCCATTACTTCACAGACTTTCGTTTGTCAGCCTCATTTTACCCAAACCATTTAGGCATTTTGCATGAGTTGGATAACATTTAAATGTGTTCTTTTTGACCATTGTAGCGGCGATCATGATTAGTTTTTTCTGTTTTAATACTTTCAACTTTATATCATACAGATGTTGCTAAAATTTCGCTCTTTAAGATATTAATGAAATTGATCACTGTAGCACTGATCAATTGTTTACCATCATTTGGTATATTTTATCCTGATTTTCAGGGCTTTATGTCTGTGTGATAACATAGCCAAACCAATTTGAATTTGTTTTGTAAGTAAAATTTCATGGAACAGTTTTAAATATTTTATTATCTTTTTGAAACATTCAGTATTTCCAGTACAGAGTAATTAATCAAGACTAACTAGTTAATCCAGTATATTTGCTGTAGGTGAATGCTGTTCAAAATGTGCTTGAATTATATATAAACACTGATCAAGAGTCTCAGACACAGGCATTCTCATAGAGGGACTATTTGAAGTCAAATAGTATTGCTTATTATTTTATGCTAAACCACAAACTTAACTGCTTTCCTCAATCTAGGTTTTTTTATTTCTAAAATGGAGTTAATTATAATTACTTCTCATGATGATTTTAATCATTACAGGGCAAAAAATATAAAAATTGATTAGTACGAAGTCTTAACAAAAAGATCAGTGTTCAACAAATTAGTTGCCTTCTGTTTTTCCTCTTCCCTCCTATTTCTATGACAGCGACTGTGTCTAATCACAAGTTAATGAACATTTGTTTTTGTGAATCAGGAGAAGTGTTACATGTGAGTGTAAGATGTTAAAACCTTCCAGAAAGGTTATTCAAAAGGTACTGCTTACACAATATACTTTAGGACAGAACTGTGCACATATGGTTTATTTAGAAATTTACTCTGTATATATGAAGAGAAAACACACATTAGTAATAGGGCTATATTAGGTTGATCCATATGAAATTGCTATTTTTGTATAACAAAAATGATAAATATTGGTACTTTCATATATGCAAACCAAAAGACATCTTCTGGTTGGAACATTCATTATATAAATAAATATAAACATTAGAAGATGGTATCCTAGCAGGAAATTTTATAGCATGAACAGTTGGTTCATTTTGATCCAGTTAACTTAAACATAAGATGGTTCTGATTCATTCTGTCTCTCTCCTCTCTCTTCTGTCTCTCTCCCCTTTCTCCTCTCTCTTCTGTCTCGCTCCTCTCTCTCTCTCTCTCTCTCTCTCTCTCTCTCTGTCTCTCTCTCACACACACACACACACACACACACACACACACACCACACACACACACACACTTGTCAGAGGCAGGAATAAAATTTTTTAAATCCTTAGAACTTTATAGTATGCAGGCCTATTATTTTATATATTCTTACACAGACTTAGTCTTTAAATTATTGTCATAGCTCTTTACACACTTATTGCAGCAGGTATATTACATATCTCTTTCTCTCATTATAGTCTGAAGAAAGGAAGAAAGTAACCATTATCCCAAGAAAATGAACATACCCAGTGTCAGAACTGAAATTTGAACCCAAGTCTCTTTGATTTCATGTTTTTCCACCTCACTTCTATGTCCCTTTATCCAAGGAATTAAAATCCTGTCACATCAAAACCTACTTTTCTGATACCATAAGTCTCTTTAACACTCGTTTATGATGTTGGAATCTTCTCTGAGGGCCTTCAGATTTGATTTTTTTGTTTTGTTTTGTTTTTTCATTAAATTTGAAGCATTTTGAACTCAGTTCATAGTTGTCTAGTAAAAAGCAAATTTTTTAGTTTATAAATATAGCAGTTGTTTCCCCACTTGCTCATTTTAAGATTGATTTACTTTCTGTCATATAAAGGTCCAGGATACACTTTTATCAAAGGGAAATCCTTAAGATAGCTGAAAAGAATAGTATGTACTAATTTTTAGTTTTTAGTTTTTCCACAAAAAAGCAAAGGGGCTTCAAAGAGAGCAGGGATGGTGATTGTTTAAACAGTGTTTGCCTCTTGTGCTTTACCACACTGTAGGCAATTAAAATGTATTTTTTTTACCTCTTGAAACAGTACTTCTTACAGTCTGTACACAATGTAGGAAAAGGTCTTAGCAGAAATTCTAATTAGATGAATAAAAGAATTAGGTTAACCTTTTAATTGTAAATGGAGCTTACCTCATGCATAAGAAAACTGAACTGAGGGAGTTGTGGGGTATTGTCAGAAGTATTGGATCTGGGCTCTTTTTTGGGCTTTGGTGTTTTCTTGTTGACATCCTGGCATATGGGTTTTTCTCAGTGCTGTTTCCTGTGAGTACACAGGTTTTACTCAACCCAATCCTCCTACTTTTTTACTTTCTTGGTGCTTTTCCCCATAGTTTTATATTTCTTTCCCCCTTTTCTCTGCCTCTCTAAATCCTACTACCTTTCAGGGTTCTATTTAATTAAACTTTTTGGATAGTGTTCTATAGTTTTCTAACTAATACCCATGTCTCCTTTTTCAGAATTCCCATATTATTTAGTCAACAGAATAACTTAGTACTTAACTAGAGATTTTGTAATATTTAATTTTTTGATGTATATAAAGTCCCATCTAATATGCTATATAAGCATCTACTTAACAATTAGAAATTACTTATTAACACTTCTGCTTTGTTAAATAATAAAAAGGAATGAACTTCCATTCCCACTCCTCCTCTTTCCCTCAGGTGTGTTTTTGAGGTCATATTCCTTCAGCAGATGCAGTCCAGGGAACTAAAACCCTTTTGCAAATTGTCAAATGAAATCTATTTAAATCAAGAAAGGAGGGAAAAGAAATCAATTTGGACATCTCAGTAAATAAATAAACAGTATAAACTAAAATTTGTTTCACTAACTTAACAGGTACTTACAAGCTATGTTGAGCCAGTGTTCTAGGCCCTAGCAGGAATGTGCTGGAGCTGACTGCCCGGAGGCCAGGCCTGGCCTCTGTGTCTTGAGACTAATGAAATGCACCATCTTCTAACTGTGCTACCTGTGCATGTTAGCAGTCTGTGCCGTCTTTTCAAGTCCTAGTTTAGCAACTATGACCACAGTATGCCCAAATGAAATAAAAGAGTTTCTCCTCATAAATTCCATTTTTGTTCTTGTTAATTTGCTTATTTATTTAATCAGTCTTAGGGAGTTGTACACGTAAGCATTTAGAAGTTAACTCAGAATCCTGACCAAAAAATATTTCTTTTCCATAAAGCAGTTGGTTGGAGGATTTTAACGCTGGAAAAAATACAAATTATTTACTTTGTATCTATAGTAACATAGATTGGATTGTGAGGTTTATAGGCTTGCCTTTTTTATTTTAAGATCTATCTGGGGCTGGCAGAGCGGTTCACCTGGTAAGAGCACCTGCCTTGCAAATGTGAGCCCCTGAGTTCAAACCTCAGTGCTGCCAAAAAAAAAAAAAGATCGATATTATTACAGTTTTCCATACATTTTAGTACAGTTTTTTGCACTTTGACTGTGCTCTTTGATATTTTTATTTCTTGACTAAATTTTTATTAAAATTTTGTGGTTTTAATATATGAGTTTTAATAATATTGTATGTATTGGTTTTTTTTTATCCTATATTACGATTTCTTAATTTATATAAGTTTATTTGTATTTAAATTTGTTGTGATATGTTTATCTTTCTATGTTTTTCTTTTATTTTTGTTGATGTTATTTTTTATTATATTATATTGTTTATCGATATTGAAGAATATATACAGTCATCTCCATACATTTTAGATACAGTTGCTTCAAAGCACTAGCCTTAACTAAGTAGTCTTAAAAAATACTTTTAAAAAATATTATGTGTTTATGTGCCGTTAAGTGTTTGGCAGGTTTGGTGGAGAAAATTATGCCAGATATTTATGGTTTAATATATTTGGTTAGAACTCATCAAATTAATGAAGCAAAAAATAGTCACTGAATTGGTCAATATAAAATTTGTATGTCTCCTGACTTTGCAAAGTACTTCTACAAATCTTTCTGAAAATATATTCATACACATACTTTGTAGTAGCAAAGATTAGAAGACAACCTAAATGTTCGCCCATAATGGATTCCTTTATAAATTATGATCCATGCATAGAATGGATACTATGTAGCCATTAAAAAGAATGGTTTTAATTATATGTATCAATATGACATTGCTAAGCCATATTAAGTGGAAAATGCACACAGCAGTATAGTATAAATACATATGAAAGTCCAGACACACATTTATATGTGTATGAAAAGGCGCCTTTGAAACTTAATTTTCCTTAAAGTAGATTGGAGTAGAAATGAGAGGCAAGCTTTAATCTGTATGTTTTTTTATAGTATTTAAAATTTGCATATGACTTGATCTATATCCCTTTGTGTTTATAAATTTTTTATTCAATTTTTAGTTAAAAAGTAAGGTTTTGATAAGGCATTGTGGCACATTCCTATGATCCCAGCATTCTGGAGGCTAAGGCATGAGGATCACAAGTTTAAGGCCAACCTGGACTACATAGAGACCCTGTCTCCAAGATAACATCAAAAATATGTGTCCCTAGTAATTTCCCTCTTTATCTTCTGCCTTTCCTCTGTTCTTATTTCCTTATCCCAGTGTCTTTCCCCTAATTTGTCCTTAGTACAAATTGCCAATTCCAGTTTATCCTATTCCAAGAAATTATTTGACTTTATTGGTTTGGAATAACTAACTTTTCTTCATCATTTGCTTTCCCAATTGACTGAATAATTTTAGTCTCATTGGAAAATTTCATCGCTTGCTAATTTTTTTAAATTTTTTTGTTCATTTATTCACATGTGCATACATTGTTTGGGTCATTTCTCCACCCTCCCCCCCCCACCCTTCCCCCCCTCCCTGAGTAATAATCTTTAATCTAGTATATTACTTGCCTTTAATTTCAGTGCTAGTTATTCAATGAATACAACAGTTTTGACAAGTCCTAACAAAAAGTCAAAACTAATTACTCATTGCATCTTTAAAAATGCCATCTTAAAAACATACTAATTGGAAAATTTGGAATGTGTCATTTGTACTTTCATGCAGTGATAACAGGATTCATCTCGTCACTTAAACTAAATCATAGTTAATCTCTTGCCTTGTCCCCAAAATTATTTAATTGGCTAAGAACTTGAAAGGTAAGAACAGTCTATCACCTGTACAAATATGTGATAAGTTTCATTGAGGAGCAAGTTGAAGAGCTGGGGTTTGTAGCTCAAGTGGTAGAACAATTGCCTAGTATGCACCAGGCTCTGGGTTCAATCCCCAGTATACAAAAAGAGAGAGTGAGAAAGTAAGTTTAAGCTTTAGACATGACAAATACATAGTAGGAATTTTGTAACCAATACATGGATTGGTTACACACATATATACACATATATACACATATAAATACTCATAATGTATTTTCCTGAATATTTGCTATTTCAGCCCCTGACATCAAATAAATATATTAAGGTTTCAAGAAAATAATTATGTGAAGTAATAAGATTCCACAGATCCTTTAAATTCTTCCTTACTATGTAATTAAGAAGTGTCGTACTTTCTGCTCATTACCATTTCTAATTTCAGGTGTGACAAGTAACACTGTCCAGCCTGCTCCACAGACGATTCCAGCCATAGATCCTGCACTGTTCAATACGATTTCCCAGGGTGAGTTAGATGGTTGATCTGTGAATTATATCGGGTCTCTCCTATTTTGGGGTGTTATTTTGTAATTTTACCTTGGGTGTAACTTATATTAAATAAATATAAGTATGATATATATGTATATTAACTAGCTATTATTACATATTAAATAAATAAGTTCTTATTTAAATTTGAATGTCTAGGTAATTCAAAACAAATTTCTTTCAGTGCCTCCTCAACTAGATTCTCTAATGAACCAGGACTATCATATAATCAAAAATTTCTAAATCCAAAGGTGTCCCCTTTTACAGTTCTTTTTTTCCTTCTTTTCTTTCCATCTATCTTTTTGTCTGCTACTGGAAGTGGTGAAACAAATATCTAGCCAAAGCTCCACAGAAATTTCTGCTAGGTTACTGTCTTTTGGGTCATGATTACTGTATGCCGTGGTTATGATCATCCTTATCTGCACTCAGTTTTATCAGATTTTCTCAAAAGAACAGAACAGACTGGTTTTGAAAATAAGTATATGTGATATTATTTATTTTGATGGTTGGTTCATAGGCTAGGTGATTGGTGTGTTTATTGCAATCTTTACTACTTTTCTGACTTCTCTTTGCTTTTTACCTCAAATCAGGTGTGGGGTTTATTTTGACTTTCCTCATTCAGAGTTTGTTTCTTCATTGGTTAAATGATTTACGTCTTTATCTTTAAATACCTTGATTGATTGTCTCTAGTCATTGTTACTGCTTTCCTCTGCTATCATGCACGCAGGTATGTTTTCCCACTTGATTTTTATGTTCTCCTCATGCACATGGGAATTGGTATTAAGCCCCACTGCCTCTTAGCTATAGAATGAGGAGAGCCTTTAAGGAAATGGGTGGGGGGTAAACAATCACACCATACTTATTAGTCTTAGCATTGTTCAGGAAGTTTGCTGCACACTTTTGGGGAAGTGATCTGTATCTTTTTTGCCTACCATGAAAGCGAGAGTTGAGAAGCAGTTGGGGTATGGTAATATGCAAAGTTTTATAGGATGGGAAACAACATAAAATCAGTATTTTTTTTTCTTACTCTCACTTAAGACCCATCACCACTCCTCATATCTGCCTAGACCCTTTCTGTGCTTTCTCTAGATAATGTCCAGTCACTTCCCTCTGTGTGTGTTCTGAGTTGAGCTTTTTTCCACTTTGTTCTGTCTGACAGCATATATTCACTTCCACACAATTTCTTCTTCTCTAGAAGAAATTCTTCAAGAAGAATTTACAGTTCTTCTGCTCTCGTCTCTGCCTTTCCATTCAATTTTGTGGACTTATTTCTTTTTGCATAACTTTATCATTTTAATATGATTTCAGAAGAAATAGTCAACCACTAGAATTCTTTACCCAGCCAAACTCAATCAGGAGTGAAAACAGTGCACTCAGTCTTTATAGGAGGGGGAGCATGCCTTTAAGTACCAGGAACCATGTTGCTTATTATACATTTAAATGCAGCGTACAATTTACTTAATCATTAAACATACAAGTTACCTTACTCTTATTCTCCTTTTTCCAGTTTTGTCAAAAGTAGATGAGTTATGAGACCTAAAATGAAGAGCTACATAGAACATTGAATTCTGAAAGGTCTAGTTTTAAGGACATTTGTTTCATAGGGGAAGACAGTGTTATGGTAAGAAGAGTACATAAGGAACCTATAATAAACTGGCAGATTACACAGGGACATAATGAAATATATTTATTTTTTATAGACAGAGAGATAACCTGCCCAACTAATATTATATACCTCTGTTAAACAGATTCAGCTCTATAGTCCCAACCACCTGTAAGAGCTCTATGTAAAATCTAATGTTACAATATCCATAAAAGAATAGACAGATAGATCAACAAAACAGAATAGTGAATCCAGAAATCAGGCACACAGTATGGGAATTAAACTAATGACAAAGGTAGCATTCAGATCATTGTGACAAGAATATATATTCAAATGCATTGTGGAAACATTTGGCCATTGTGGAAAAAACTACAGTAAATGCCTATCTCAAATGTTACATCTCATTTGTTTGATAAATGAAAAGTCATAAATTCCTAACAGTAGAAGATACTTCCTCATCCATTATATTGTTAGAATTTAGCTAATAGACCAGTACATTTGAAACTTAAATAATATTACTGTCTAAAATAAATTTTAAAAGTTCCTACAAATTAGTAAGTAAAATTTAGTAGGAAAAAATGGATGAGAGTGTAAACATTGTATATACAAATGTATAGTAAATATATAAAATGTCCAACTTTACTAACAACCAAAGCAACTCAGAATTAAAGTGAATTTTATTATGTGTCAGTAAATAAAAAGATACTTGGTGGGAATAGAAATTGGTAATGCTTTTTTAGTAACATTATGCCACCATCAAAACTGCAAATACTTACACCTTTTAACCCAGCTCTTCCACCATCAGAAATCTATCATAAATACTTAGGTGTAGGCACAATGTATTTATATAGATGTTTATTTTAGTATTGTTTGAGTAGTAGAAAATGATCTTAAATGCTGCTAGGAAGGTAGTTTAATTATGGTCTAGCCTTATTATCTAATGCTATGTGCATGTTAAAAGGAAGAATGTGTTAACTCTCATGTGATAAGAGTGCCTGGATATATTAAGTAAAATGGCAAAAATGCAGAACATTATATATAGTATGACCCTGTTGAAGGGGAAAAAGAAGAAACAAACTTGTGTCTTCTGTGTCTCTACAGGTTTGTGAATGTGTAGGAAAATCTGTAGTATATACAAATTAAAAATACTGATTTCAGATAAACCACATCCTAGGCTACAAAACACACCTAAAACAGTTTTTTAAAAATAAAAATCATAAACTATCTACTCTCAATGAAATTAAGAAATCAATAGCAGAATGATAGCTGGAAGATTCCAAAGTCCTTGGAGATTCAGCAATATATTTCTGAATAATATATATTCACAGGAGAAATCTCCAGAGAAATTTAGAAATACTTTGAACTAAAACGACTCATCAAAAGTCAGAGGATGCTGTAAAGGCAGTGCTCGAGGAAACATCATGGTACTGGCATATAAACAGATGCACAAACCAGTAGAACAGAATAGAGATTGCAGAAATAATCCCATGCATCTACAGCCAATTCATTTCTTACCACAGGTGTGAAGAAATGGGACTGCATCAAACTTAAAACCTTCTGCACAGCAAAAAGAAACAGTCACTAGACTTAAGAGACTGCCCACAGAATGGGAGAAAATTTTTGCTATCTAATCATCCAATAAGGGGCTAATACCCAGAATCTACTGGGAACTCAAAAAACTCAACCCCCAGAGAATCAAACCCCAATAAGAAATGAGCACATGAATTAAATAGAGAATTCTCAAAGAAAGAGGTACAAATGGCCAATAAATACATAAAGAAGTATTCAACTTCCCTGGCTATAAAAGGCTGGAAGAAGATTTACCAAGCCGGTGGGCCCCCAAAACAGGCAGGAGTTCCAATACTTAATATCAGACAAAGTAGACTTCAAACTTACATTGGTCAAACGAGACAAAGAAGGACACTTCATACTAATAAAAGGGGTAATACATCAAAGGAAATAACTGTTATCAACATATATGCACCCAATATTAGTGCACCCAGTTTCATCAAACATGCACTAAAGGACTTAAAAGCACATATAGACTCCAACACAGTGGTAGCGGGAGACTCTAATATCCCTCTATCACTAATAGATAGGTCATACAAACAAACAACAACGAAATCCTAGATCGAAGAACACTACAGAAGGTAGAAGGATCTCCCATGCTCATGGATTAGCAGACTCAACATGGTAAAAATGGCTATACTACCAAAAACAATCTGCATGTTCAGCACAATTCCCATCAAAATCCCAATGACATTCATTACAGAGATTGAAAAATCTACCCTAAAGTTCATTTGGAAACACAAAAGACCGCGAATAGCCAAGGCAATACTGAACAAAAAGAGCAATGCTGGTAGTATCACAATACCTGACTTCAAACTATACTACAGAGCCATACCAATAAAAACAGCATGGTACTGGCACAAAAACAGATATGAAGAACAGTGGAACAGAATAGAGGACCCAGATATGAATTCATACTGCTATGCCCACCTTATTTTTGACAAAGGCACCAAAAACATACATGGAAAAAAAGGCAGCCTGTTTAATAAATGTTGCTGTAAAAAGTGGTTATCCACCTGCAAAAAACTGAAACTAGATCCCTGCTTATCACTCTGTATTAGTATCAACTCAAAGTGGATTAAGGAACTTAATATCAGACCCAAATCCTTGCAGCTAGTACAGGAAAGAGCAGGGAGTACTCTAGAAGAAATGGATATAGGCAAGGACTTCTTCGTAGAACTTCAGCAGCTCAGCAACTAAGAGAAAGGATGAAAAAAATGGGACTACCTGAAAGTAAAAAGCTTCTGCACAACAAAAGAAATAGTCTCTAAATTGAAGAGAATACCCACAGAGTTGGAGAAAATATTTGCTAGCTATACATCAGACAAAAGACCGATAACCAGAATATACATGGAACTCAAAAAACTAAACTTCCCAAAACACAATGAACCAATAAAGAAGTGGCAACTGAACTAAACAGAACTTTTTCAAAGAAAGAAGTCCAAATGGCCAAAAAATGGCCATATTGAAAAAAATGCTCACCATTCCTGGCCATAAAGGAAATGCAAATCAAAACCACACTAAGATTCCACTTCACTCCTATTAGAATAGCTACCATCAAGAACATCGCCAACAACAAATGTTGGCAAGGATGCAGGGAAAAAGGAGCCCTCATACACTGGTGGTGGGAATGTAAGCTAGTACAACCACTTTGGAAAACAATATGGAGGCTTCTTAAAAAACTAAATATAGATCTGCCATATGATCCAGCAATAGCACTGTTAGGGATATACCTGAAGGAATGTGACTTCGGTTATTACAAAGGCATCTGCACAGCCATGTTTATTGCAGTGCTATTCACAGTAGCC